ATGAAGTAGGTTTTAAGGTAGAGACTTTATTGCTAATTATTAATTCTTTATTATTTTCAATTTGTAGAGATGTTAATTTGCATAAATCAGGATAGGTATTTAAAGGAATATTATTTTTCAAACAGCAGTAAATAATTTTCATTAAAGAATTAATTTTTAATTTTTCTGTACTAATTCTTGAAGTATCTGGTTTAAGTAATTCTTCAGATTTTTTATGTTCATTGATTTTCACATGTTCTTTAATTCTTTCTATCATTAATGAAGATGTATATTTTACAAATGCTGTTGTTCCATTGCAATTTCTACAAATTCTACAATATAAAATTATAATTCCATTAACAGATTTGGTTTCCAACCATGGATAATCATCAAACCACTTAGTATCAACAGCTTTTCTAATGTGTAATCTTTAAGCTTTTCGTCATCAGGCCATTGGAATATTTGACATTTCAAAATATTTGAAAGAAATTAGTTAATTATTAATTTGGTAAAAAAAATTTTTAGTAACAATTTATTTCTGAATGATATATTAATTTTTTAAATTTGATGTAATGCAATATGCCCAATTGAATTTTCAGCACTGCTCACCCTGAAAATTTTAAATTTCAAATTCAATTAGTGTTCCATGTCGCAATCCAAAAAAGGAAACAAAATGGTCATAAAGGTGGTTGCAACCAGCAGTTGCAATCATTTTATATGACGCAAATGTGGTAGCAACCATCATCAAAAGTTGCAGCTGGTATCCTTAAATTCAATCAGCAGAACTTTGGCAGGTTACACACAATTTTTGAGTTTAGCAAGGTATGCACTAATTGTTTATTAAAGTTTCAACAGTTTCAGCAAACAACGGTAATAAAAAAATGGTCTAAATTAAGGGGTAGAGTTCAGTTGCACAATATATACATATTAATACACTATGGTGCAAGTTACACCGGGGTGTGCGACATTCTAAGAAAATCAAAACTAATTAATGTCATATATTGATTGGTTATATGTGATTTTTTTTGTGATCTGCATATCACATACAGAATTTCCGAAATTTATGTAAAGAACATAGTAAACATATTGTTTTCAATACATTACTCCTCCTCCATTTCAAAGATATAGGCATTAAATTTCCATGAAAGGTAGTATATACATTATACTTTAGAGCTATGGAAAGATTTAATGGATTAAAAATACCAGTGGTGTAAAAAACTCATTTGAAATACAGAAAATTTCTTTCTTTATCATAATACTTCTATCTATTGCAACTTCTGAAAAAATTGTATGAAATAAAGATTTCTCTCTCCATAGCACTGTTCTACAAATGTATCCTGGTCAAAAGCCTCTAATAATTTTATAAATGTAATGATTTTCCAGAAGCCTTAGTGATTGAAAGTTCATAATACTAATACTAATAAAACACTAATGAAGAAATATTTTGCTACACTGTTTCCTTTTTTAGATAAAAAAGGGGGCACCATAAAAAAATCTGTATATATGGATTTACATTATGACATTAATTAGATTTGTTAATCAACTTATATCGAATACCCCATGTGAGCATGCAATCCAAGTTTCCTAATTAATAGGTTATTTAATGCTCAACACACAGCCTACTTGCTGACTTACAGTCAAGTTTCCTTTAACTATATATATATGACACACAGCCTACTTGCTGACTTATGGTCAAAGATTAATAATAAAAATAACTTTTATCTTCCTGGATAAAAGGGTCCCTAGGTTCTATGTAAATGATTATAT